GGTCACCTGGAGCGAATCTAGTACCTCGCGCATCTCGCGCTCACCGCCGTTTTCTGGGTCAGAACCGTCCCATTCCCATACTAGCTGCGGCGCACTGAGAACAAGTTCACGCGGTACGGGCCATCCGAGGTGCTCAGTAACCCAGACAGCGTAGTCATCGGGAAGGCGCTTCTCTGAAAAGCGGAACCGCGTTGCTTTGATGATACTCATCTCGCGCTGGTACCAGGCAGGGAATTTGGACGCCCGCATCATGGACAGGTATTTGTAGACGGTGAGCATTACTTCTCGATGTTTCTCTAAAATTGACACCGTCAGTAACTCCCCATGGAGAACACATCGAAAAGAAACACACCAAAACCAACGGGAGTCAGGCTAAGGGTCACCTTTATCATAGCAAAGCCTCTGCCAAGGTTCTGCGGACCTGCACTTAAGGCGGTAATCCAACCTTTGTTCTTCAAATAGGAGTGAAGAGAGCCAGGTCCTTCATGTCCCAAGAAGTGCGTAATGAAGTTCCCTGGTTGGTAGCGCCATTGACGAGGCTGCCAAGGCAAAGGAAAAGATATTTCGACCGCATGAAAAGACATGATTGTCTGGACCGAAACGAGTGACTTCATCCTGATATAAGAAAAGGTACTCAACGCTCATAATCAAGGATGGAACGCACCTCGACTTCATTTGGCCCAAACGGATGGTCGTTGATCATTGGCAGAGCATCCCGACCACGATTTAGGATAGGCGAGAACATATTTGCAACCATAATGGCCAATTCGTCCAAAGATTCTAGACGTGCATACAATCAGTTTTGACAACTAACGATGGCGCGATGTATGCACAAACCTTTCCCGATGACACAAAGTCGCATTCTACTGGCACAGTACTCTTTACTCCACCACTCAACCAGTCTCCGGCGTGTTTCGCGGCCCACGGATCCTCCATCAGCTTCCATCTCGCTGAGTCCAGAGCTAGAAGATGGTGTAGGAGAGGGCACTCGAGACGACGTGGGCGACGGCGCCAAACTACCGTCGGCAGACTTAGAGGCTCCATTTGTGTTAAGCAAGCCTTTCGCCTTCAGTTCTCTGCCGACCTTAGATAGACTGTCGCGGTTTCCACTTCCAAACTTGCTCCATACATGCCCTGGCTTAGTTAGGTGTTTGTTGAGTTGAAAAATGCGCCACATATCCGACTGGTGGTTCTTCTGATGTTCCGAGTCCACGGCACTAAGCTCACGCGACGTGCAAGATGGTGCAAAAAGCGGGCAATGGAAGAACGCAGAAAAGCGGGCTAGTGCACCTGGTAGAGCGTCTGTTGCGACGCTGAAGTAGTAGTTGGTGTTCGACGTCGCAGTGAATGCGTTAGAATTGCCATTATTTTTGGCAAGAAACTGTGAAGCAGGATGAGCATGCGAAGGCAGTCAGACATAACGAACCTACCTCCGAATATTCATTCTCCCGAGGGAATTGCTCAGTGCCCTGTTTAGCAAATTTGATTTAGATTGACCAAACAGAACTCGTGATTCAACACACCATGAAGAGGAGGTGCTCGCAGAAATGTGCTAATCCAGGCATGTCGTCCTATCATGAAGGGTGTTGTCAATATACACCACCTTGAAGAGAGGGAAGGAAACTAACCGGGTCATACAGATGTCCAACGGCGACGTCTAAACTGGCAGCTGCCTTGTCTGCCTTCGCGTCATGGACAAGCATAGCTTGCAGACCATTGTCCAGCTGTATGATCCTATAATCCCGGTCATCCTGTCTTGATTTATGGATCGGCATGGTAAATATATGGTACGGCTTGGGCGACGAATTGGAGACGCATTCCCACTCGGGAAGACGTGGCGAGGAAGCCATGGCGAATGCGGAGCTCGGAAAGAAGGGAACGGGCCTGTAGATCCTCAGGTAGTTCAGGAAAGGCTGGGAGAGAAGCGAGGGACGAGGAGGAAGAGAGAGGCGACTTGCCGAGAGTCGCAGCATTTTATGTGCAAGGATCGAAAGTCTGAGCGGGTACGCTTACATCATTTTCAACGCAGAACAGGGAGCGCTACTCGAGAACCCTGTGGGTCATCCGCTGTACGGCAGTGAGAGTGCTGCACAGAAATTCGGTGACAGGCGCCATTCTGGCGACAAGCTGCCTTTCCCGGAAAATCGCCCTCTCAAGCGTCTCCCCTCTCACATTCACACCACCCCGCGCTATCAGACTTCTCGGACGTACTTGCGGTTCCGTGGGTCGGCAGCTGCTTATGTTCAACATCCGCTACCACCCCACAATCAATGCGCGAAGCAAATAGCAGCGAGTGACCTCAGATTCTCCGGGCGTTCAATATCCAGCCTTACAGGATGGTCGCTCCGAAGCTACGGAGTTATTCATCAAGCGGGATCCAGAGCAGAAGCACTGCATTGTCTCAGACTACATATCCCCGCGAGCCTCAGTCACGCTCAAATTTGCATTCCTGAACCCTCGGACAGCAGAAGGGGATGTCATGAATCTATGCTGACAAAGTGTACAACCCGCGGCCATATCTTGAGCAGTAGTAAGCAGCTAATGTCATGATAGTACCCATGTCACTCACCCAGGTTTTACGATTCATTCCTGTCAAATGAGGACGTCATCAATAAAGTAAGAGGACAGTTACGAACATAAACTGATGCATAGCACTACAAAGCAAACACGAAGATGCGAATACGCGTACAAAAATGAAGGACAACGAGTGGCGATTATTCGTCCAATATCCGAGCTATGGGTAGTGAGGTGGCTCATGATAAAATATGACAAGGACAGAAGAAAAGTGGAGGGGTCATCACTTCTTCCTCCCCAGTTTGAATCCTCGGCCATTGAGATGTGGCTGTGGCTGCTGCACAGGGTTCACAAAGTTCTTTAATCTCCTGAAGAGTAAGACGTGGGGTTCAGGTGCTGTCGCCGAAAAAGTGAACAGTCAATCAAGCATTTGGTCACAAACGTGCAGACCATTACTCACCATGCACCTCATAGTGTTCCCAGCCCAAACTCTGCGTGATCCCAATCCCCCGCCATTCTTGCTCCGTCAGCAGCTTAAGCGTGCCACTCTTGTCAGGATTGAATAGAGCCTTCGGTATCATCTTAAAAAGGGGTTTGGGGAGGATAACGTGACGGTATTCGTACTCGTCGTCAGAGTATCGGTCAGAGTAGTGGATCCTGCATATTGAGACGTGTGAGTGACCGGCTTTCGCGTCCATGAGAATGACGAGCCAACTTCTCGATATACTCTTCTAGCTTCCTTGCGGCCTCCGCTGCTGCGGCCGCCTGAGCCTGAGCCTGAGCTTGACTGTCTTTCGTAGACATTACGGGGAATTGAGGTGATCGTCGACGGGCAAAGTGTGGCAGACGCGACTTGTCACAAATCGGTCACATACTGAGTGGGGTCACGTGATAAAACGACGCGTTCACGGCGGCTCCGCGCATCCTATATTAGCTCCAGTGACCATTCTACTGCCTTGCAAGTCGGATTTGTCCAAGATGAACGGACCGGATTTCGAAGACCTTGTTCACGAGTATGGTCTCGACGACATGGACTACAGTGACCATAGAGATGACTCAGGGATCGCTTTCCTGCTGAATCCGGTACGTAGCGATTTGGAGAGTATCGACGATCTCATAGAAGAATACGGTGGGTATATGCGTGGCGAGCATGACCAGACTGCTTTTCTGTAGTTGCTGAGACATTTGCTTACTTCAGAGAACTCGTCCCCATCTCCGCCGGAGCGTCGTAGCGCCATAGGCGGTAGACGTCCTGTCACCTACCGCCCACCGTTCGCACGACACCCTGGCCCTGGGCTTGCCACGGCCTACGACGAATTCGAAGACGTCGAGGAGCCGTACCAAACACACCAACTTCAGACGCAATATCAGCTCAATCTACCCTCACGCTCGTCCGCTTACCGCTCCCCGAATTTCGACCGGCGTCCAGGTGGTACGAACTCCAGTTAGTCCGTCCTGTATGCCATCGGCACTCACTTTCTCGATTCTTTCTCCAGCACCTTTGCTTCCGTGTCAGACTTCGGTTCATTCCGTACATCCAGTTCCGCATAACGTCCACCAACTTAGGACCCCCGAAGTGTCGTCTGCAGGCAATCGATCAACAAGAAATGCGGAAGACAATCACCTAAATGTACATAGAATGGATAGGAGCTCAAACACTCGCGCAGCACAGGGTGTTCGTTTACGTCCTGTATCAGAGCTTCGTAAGTCTAGGTTACGTTGGTTTAGGAGCCAAGTTTAACGCATATATCCGGCTCTCTCGTCGAACTTCGGTCCAGCGGATGTTTACCGAGGGATATTTAAGTTTGGAGTCTTCAATGCGGTCCAGTCTAGATGCTTTGATACGGTGTGTGCTATCTTTCAGGCTACCTGTTCTCTCGACCAATCGGAAGCCGTGCATTAGGTGATGCACACGAACGAGAACATGGTATATGCGCTCATTTGATTGATATCCGTTGCCGCTGATTACGTTTCTAACTTCGTCAGGTCATCAGTGGTAAATTTCCATAATATGTGAGATTTTGCATCTCACGCGGAGCCGGACGTAGCCCCAACGGGAAGTGGAAAGACAGTACTCTTCGAACTAGCAATCATCAGAATGCTCATGCAAGCAAGTGGAAGTAATGAGACGTCCAAATGCATCTATGTGGCGCCTACTAAGGTAAAGGCATCCCACATCAGCGTCAAGCGCGCACGATGTCCACATGTGCACATTGTTTTCTGTCCCAGGCGCTGTGTTCGGAAAAATGCAGAGAGTGGACGACCAAGTTTCAACCACTCGGTGTCAGCTGTGAGTTATCCCTTTCGTAATCCTTGTAGTGTAGTTATGAACGTTTACGTTTATTCGCGTATCTACAGGTTGTGAATTGACAGGAGACACCGTTCAATTCGGCAAGAGTGCCTGGGGCAATGCCCGAGATGCCTCAATCATGTAAGTCGCTTTTCCATGTCTCTATCTGTTGAGAACGTGACGAGTGCTTCCATTCTTGTAGCATTACAACGGTAAGGTTGGCACGAGCCATGTTACAAATGCAGTGGCTCAAAATCATCCGGAATCACAGGGCGAGAAGTGGGATAGCCTGACGCGCAACTGGTAAGCGCAGCAGGACATATGGTTGCAAGAGCTCCAACCTTCCAATGTATAATCGCAGGCGTGACCATGGCCAAATTCTCTCACAGATTCAGCTCTTTCTCGTAGATGAAGTGAGTGTCTAACTGCATTTCATACACGACAGTTACCGAATTGCTACTTCTTCCGCAGGTGCATATTCTCAATGAGTCTCGTGGGAGTACAATGGAAGTGATCCTCTCACGTATGAAGACTCGTGGATCCGCTGTCCGCTTTGTAGTCGTTTCCGCAACTGTCCCGAATATCGAAGACGTAGCGAGTTGGATAGGGAATGGTACACCTGAGGGTTCTGCAACTGTCATGCAGGTGAGAGCCTCGTGAGACCATTTCCGTCGGACGACGTAGCGCAGATTCGTTCATTTTGGCATTTTCTTGGTAAAAAGATATCCGAACAAGATCTTCTTCCCATTACACAAAAAACGTAACTTACCTCATTTGACAGTTCGGTGAAGAGTTTCGTCCCTGCAAGCTGTCGAAGTTTGTTTACGGTATACACCGCAAAAAAGATCAGAACGACTTCGTCTTTCAGAAAACTCTAGATTTTCGTTTATACAGTATCTTGCAACAACATTCGGCCGACAAGCCAACGCTAGTGTTTTGTTCAACTCGTAAAGGCATGTATGATTGCACTCTGCTAGTTGTAATGACTGTGACTGTTCTTTGAGTAGGAGTGGTCGGATCGGCTGAGCATATATTGAAAGAATACGAAGACGCGGTTCAGAAGAAGGCGCCCTTACCTTGGACCCATCTATCGAGGTGAAGCGTATTGAAGTCTATTTTGCATACATGTATCTTTCGCGCTAATGCCTACCGTTACTTAGAATCGAACACACTTTTCAAGATAAACGCTTGGAGAGTTTGTATTATCCATAGCTAGCATATGTTTTTTTTCTTGACTACGACAAACAATGTGCAGAATTAGCTGCCCGTGGGATCGGTGTGCATCACGCAGGAATGAGCATGGAGGATCGAAGAACAACGGAGGATATGTTCTTGAAGAAGATCCTTCAAGTTCTTTTCGCGACATCTGTAAGTTCGCTTGCACAAACCCTGTAGGACGCTGTTAAGTTTGCATACATTCAGACTCTAGCTGTTGGGGTGAACTTGCGTGAGAGCGTCGCGGATGTTTTGCTTTATGGCAATTACTGAACATCCTCGCTCTTAGCTGCCCACACTGTTATTATCAAAGGCGTCAAGATATTCCAGAACAATTCCTCGCAGGAGTATTCAGATCTCGATATAATGCAGATGATGGGCCGTGCTGTATGTAGCTGCAGTTTAGAATTTCTGAAATTAATGACGATCGTTCTCTGACAGGGTCGGCCGCAATTTGGTAGGGAAAGTAAAGGTGCTCTTTCATAAAATCTGACTTGTATCTTTAGATAAGGAAGGGATCGCTATAATTTTATGCGAAACCGAATTGGAAGCGAAGTACAATGCGCTGGTTCAAGGCCACAGTTTGTTAGAGAGTTGTCTCCATCTCAATTTGTCGGAGCACCTCAACTCAGAAATCGGCCTTGGGACAATCACTGACTTAGACAGCGCAAAGGAGTGGCTGCGTAACTCATTCTTGTATCAACGAATTCGAAAGAACCCTAAGCATTATGCGATTGGCAAAGAGGGTAGTCAAACATGGCAAGAGCGAATTGATGGGATGGTAACGGAAAGTATAACAAATCTACGAGAAAGTGAATTGGTTGTATGCTCCGATGGTGATGAAGATCGGGGCCAGCTGTGTTCCACCGATTATGGCGATATCATGAGCAAAGTAGGCATTGTTTTTCTTTTTTCTCTGCCTGCTGAACGACCGTTAGTTTTACGTGAAACAATGGACTGTACGCGCACCAATGCTTTATCACGGCTGTGAGGTTTTGATCACATTCTAGATGAATTCAATCCTTCAGTTGTCTGACCGCGCGTCCATGAGGGATATAGTATGTCTAGAACCTTTCTTTTGGGTATATCACCTTGACTAACTGCATGGCAGCTGGAAACGATTTCAAACGCCGAGGAGTCAGTTACCGCAGTTCATACTATTAGTGGATGCCCCTTTCTCATGTTCTGCTATAGATTCTCCGACATCAAGATCCGTAGTGGAGAGAAACAGGTTGGTTCACATATTCATTTGTACTTTTTTTTAATTCCAGTACTAGACGAGTGCTGTTAGGTTTACAACAAAATGCGCGCGCACAATGACATCCGTTTCCAGATCAAGAAGGTCGAAAAGCCTTCTGACAAGATCTTCTTATTGATTCAGGTGAACATGAATTCTTATCTGTTCATCGGCACGTCTCATATAGAAACACCAGGCCGTTCTTGGATGCATAAGTCTATCTGATCCCGATTACAAGAAAGGAGACAACAACCCTACAATGGAAGGCTTTTCCGTTTTTCGTCATGTCGTCCGCATTGCAAAAGGTAGAGTGCGACGACTACTCATTATTTCCTCTCTGACCGATGTGCTTCAAGTTGTCGCAGAGGTAGCTATCGTCAAAAGGGCAGGTGCTCTACTGAAGCATAGCCTCGAAGTGTTCGTAACCCCGCCTGCCTCGTGGGCGTGCTTATCAGTTTCCTTCCAGTATTCGCTGTCTGAGCGCGAAGGCATGGGAAGATCGGCATACCGTGTTGCGACAGGTGGAGCACATCGGTGAAAAATCGTGCGTAACAATATGCTGGTTTTATGCACTGCGAATCAATCTTCATATGTATTCTAGGCTCAAAGTCTGTTTCCCTTATTTATGTCATGGTCTCTACTACCTACTTAGTCCCTCATAGGTCTTGGCGGAATACGGTATCACCACACTGTCCACACTGAGAATCCAGGAACCACTACGGCTCGAGGCAGTACGAAATATTCTCATTTTCCGGATGTTGCGCACGCTGACGCAACAGAAAGCTTCTCAATCGCCGCCCTCCGTTTGGTCATGAAGTCCTCGCTGCTGTTCAACAGCTTCCTGAATACACACTGAATATAAATGAGATCGAAGTGACAACTCATGGAGGAAAGAAAGCTGTTGAAGTAGAACTGCTGATTGAATGTGGACTAATAACTGACGGCACACCCGGTCCGAAGATGAAGAAAGCTAAAAACAAATTTACAGATATGACCACAGTGCTCACCCTGACTTCTGATCTGGACTTCATTGATTTTCGCCGTATCCCGTTCGTTGTCTATTGATCAAAAATACCAAATTTTGATCGTTCTCTTGATAGAACAAAGGCTCTGAAAGAAACCAAGACATTTACGTTGAACGTTGAGCTGAGGAAGCCTAGCCAATCCATTGTCACTTATATTTCTTCGGTACAGTTGCCCCTCTCTGAATACGTGCTGATCCTGAACTAGAAGTAGGAGAGCATCGCTGGCGTAACGGTCTCCCAGAGTTACAAGACGAATATCGCCGCGAAGCAATTTCCCCCCGTAAATACCCGCCCCCACAACTCAGTGGTATCTGTTGCATATATTGGTAGACAAACTGTCATTTTAATTCATGCCTCCAGGGTCTGCTACTGGAGGGGCTCGATGACGTTCCGGACTTTTGGAACATGGATCCGGATGACGATGATCGAGCCAATACGCATCCTATGAACTCCCAGAGTATGTATTTCATTGTCTTGCGTTGGTTTATTGGGCCCCTTACACTGCGAATAGATTACTCGGCTGTCGGAATGCAAAAGGGTGCTGAAATTCCTAATTCCTCTGTAACGCAGACGAAGATCCGTGTCGGGAATGATACATCTAAAGTGCAACTGGGCTTCAAAATGTTATCTAATGGAAATTATGAGTGAGTACAATGCCATATCATTTGAGATTTGATTTATCGGATGTAACACCTAGATGTAATCACGCCTGCAAAGACAAGACACAGTGCAAGCATATGTGGTGCGTCATTTCCATCGACCAGAACTTCTGTGATGGAACATAGTGTGAAGCTGCCGTGAGGGCCTCGCGAAACCTCCTACAATGTCGAAGAGGCGCGTTGAAGCATTGTGTGCCGATTCAGATGACCAGAGTAAGCCATCAGATGCTAAATACTTCTGAACTTGTTGCATTGAGCATATTGTAGGGCCAGTACCGAGGCCGAAACCGAAACCAAAATTAAAATCAAGCGATCGGCCGGACCCTCGTATGAAGCACTTAGAGTATCTGCATGAGAAGACTGCTGTCAAAGAGAATCTGAAGATTTCTGATGGGCAGCAGATCAGGCTCGACGGTAAGCCTAAACTACAAACTAGGATGAACGATCAAAAGGGCATGCTTTCAATGTCGAAATCCGGCGCTCTTCGAGCCGAAGAGACGACAACGATTGACTGCGACATAAACTTGGTTAACGATTCTGACGATGATCTCCCGGACGCTGAAGCCTTGCTTGCGACGTATGACAACACTAAGAAACTCAAGACTCCGCATTCTGACACCCCCGAGACCAGCTATTCTAATTCAGAGATTGATGCTCTCATCCGAGATGCTCCTCTAGATCTTGGAGACTTTGTCGGACTAGAATCCCCAAGGCGTGGACAGATGTACAATGGGACCAATCGGAATAATTCCTCGCGTACCCCGTCGAGGCAGAAACGTATTTCTCCTCTAAAGCGGAAACGAGAGGGCAAGGATGAGGGAGGGTCAGTCTCCTCGTTTCAACCTTTGAAGGCGGCCCGACTTGGTGGACTGCCCAATCAGACGCCTTCGTCCGCTCAACAGAAGGTGCGTCTCCATTTCTCACCTCTCGTATTGCAAATTGTTGATTTGGGAAGAAGGAACCCAAACCAGAACCTCTGTTCATTCTGGATTCCTCAGACGATGAAGAGGTTTCACGCAACCATTCCAAATCTCGGCAGGAGTCCGCAAATTTGAACGCCACCTACCAGGACAATAACTACGATGACTTTTTCTTAGATCCAAGACTCTTTGACATCATACCTGATCAGCTACCTGGATCTCCAAACTTAGTTCCAACTTTGACTTGCAGTAGGGAATCGGATACATCTACGTTCCAGTCGGCTCGAACATCATCCCCTGGCGACAAGTATGCATCGAAGGATAATCATGTCCCTCTTCCATGGCAAGACGACGAGGCAGACGCCGACCTCAAGGAATATGAACGGGACGTTGCCGAATTGGAGGCGTGGCTACACAGTGATCCATTTGTTCTCAAGAAGTGATGATCATGGTAGTCGTTACCCAGCATTAGTGTAATTGTATAGTAATGGAGATACGATGTGGATGTTCCCATACGACGAATGTTATGATGTACGATCATCGCGCACCACGTCTGCCTTGTCGGATGGAGGATCGGCGAATGTCGACATCGCGTTTCTAAACCTCTCATCCCAAGCAACGTTCCGCTCGGGTTTTATTATATCCCACCCAACCTCGTCGGCCTGCCAGCGCAGCTCTTTTTTCATCCGCTCTGCACGCAACTCGACCTCGGTCGGGGGCGGAAAGCTCTGCTCGTCCTTCGTAGGTTCCCGAGTGCCTCGTGCCAAAGCCCGTGCTGTCTCTAGCTTCGCGGGAAGGCCGGCGTAGTACTCCGTTCGTGCCTTCTCGATCTCGGAGGCGAAAGAGCGCACAATGGACTTCTTGTAATATGATTCGGTGTCCTTGTCGAACTCGAGATCGTCAGGCGTGACCTCGGACAAGTGCGGTTTTGCGGGTGACGTGCCATCCGCCTCCTCATGCAGAGCGTCGGCCACAGGGCCGATAAACGGACGAGTAGTGCCCGAGATCAGTCGGTATGCGGCTTCTGCACCTGCGCGCACCTTGTAACGTTCGTTGAAGAATTCCCATATCATGTGGGGAATCTGGGTAAGCCCGATGTAGTTAACGAAATGCACGAACAGGATGGGCGGCTGCTGGGGGATTGACGCTGGTGGCGCATTCAAGTGAGGGGGGATTGTCGGGCCCTGATGTGACTGTGAAGGCTGCGGGGGCGCGGATTTTTGGAGATGTGGGGGCATGAATGCAGTAAATGGTTTAGATGGTGGGAGACGGGATGCGGTTGGGATAGGCTCATCATCGGTGTCTCCTTCGCTTGCGCTAGCAAGGTCGGGCTCTGGCTCTGGCTCATCAAACCTACCGTCGGACTCGAGCCTACGAGACAGCGCCTCTTCGCGATCGACGAGTTCGAGTCCCTCCGTCCAACCCTTCTTCAGTCCCGCCATGTATTCTTTGAAAGTCGGACGACCAACAATGACCACACCGCCATCAAGCTCTCTCCGACGCTTGTCCTCCGGAGATGTATTTGGCAAGACCATTGGTGTGAGAGGAGGCTGATCCAGCCCCGCTTCAATCCTCCGTCGTCGCTTGATGTCATCTGCAATCCGGTTCATGAGTTCGCCATGTCGCTTCCCGCTGATAATTTCATAGTCGACGGCAGCTGCAACAAGAATGGGCTACGGATACGGTCAATCTTAGTCAAAATGCAAAAAATGATATCACCAGACCTTCACGTACTTGCGGAAGTATTTTATGCTACGGCCATGGTCCTCGTCTCCCGGCCACTTCGAGCCATACACAGTAACCTTGCGTGGGTAATCAAGGCTATGCAAGGGAACCTCCGCGAGACACTTGACTCTGTCTACGTACTCCTGGCGTATTTCCTTGCATTTTCGGCGGTCGTAAATGTAGTACCCAGCAATTGTGGACGTGACACCTATGAAGATGAGCCAATTGCGCGAAGGAAGTTTCGGCCGCTTGTCAAGCCATGAGGGGGGTATGCCAGTATATCTGAGAACCGTCTTTACGCCCGCCAAGTTTTGTTTCGTGGGAGGTGGGACCGCATTTGCAGCAGGCTCGCTCATTGCCAGCAGAGGCAGCGATGGTCAAGTTTCCAGCGCGGGTGCGGCAGCTTTTGCCGAGCGAATGAGCGCGCTGAGCACGTGATAAACCTAGTGACTCCAAGCAGACGCAAATATCTAGATTTAGTAGTGCCTTACCTCATCAAAGACGTTGTTCCTCGACTTGTCCTCTCCACGTCGAGATTATGGCTACTGCTCTTGCTTCACTTCTCCCCCAGCCTGTTTATGCGCCAGCTGTCTCGGAAGATGAAGAGGAGGTTGTCCATGTGTTCCAGCCTGCACCGTCGCAGTCTGTAATTCTTCGGACACCGGTACCACCCTACGGTCAACGCACTGGCTGGAAGCCTACGTCCCCAGATGACTTCGGTGCGTCCTGTGCTTCCTAGTAAGTCGGACTAGCACTCAATTCCACTCTAGGGGACGGAGGTGCATATCCTGAATGTCATGTCGCACAATACCCCCTAGAGATGGGCAAGAAAAAGGCCTCTTCCGGCAACACTCTCGCATTGCAAGTAGATGCCGAAGGCAATGTCCGTTATGATGCCATTGCTCAGCAGGGACAGCGTGCAGGGAAGATAGTGCAATCCCAGTTCAAAGACCTTGTACCTCTTTCTCATCGGAAAGACCTCGATGACACAGAACGGATAATGGAGCGGCCCACGGAGGATGAAGTCCAGACTACTACTGATAAAACGCGCGCCGCCTTAGAGAAGCTCGTAAACGGTAAGATCAAGGCTGCACAACCAAAGAACGTTCCAGACAGCCAAGGCAAGACATCGTTTATACGGTATACACCCGGGCAGCAGAATGGGTCGGACGGTCTGAAACAACGGATTATTAAGATGACGGACGTTGTCGAGGACCCCCTTGAGCCACCACGGTTCAAGCACAAGAAAATCCCGCGGGGCCCACCGAGTCCGCCCCCGCCTGTGTTACGCAGTCCGCCACGGAAGGCGACCGCGCAAGAGCAGAAAGAGTGGATGATTCCCCCATGCATTTCGAACTGGAAGAACAATAAGGGTTACACAATCCCTTTGGATAAACGTCTTGCCGCCGATGGCCGTGGGCTCCAGGACGTGAGTGTCTCGCGACTGCGTGATCGGTCCTTCTGATTGCTGTTCACGCTCTAGGTACACATCAACGACAACTTTGCTAAATTCTCTGAGGCGTTATTCATCGCTGATCGACATGCACGTGAAGAGGTCCGGCAACGCGCGCTCATGCAGCAGAAGCTTGCCGAGAAGGAGAAGGCTCAGAAAGAGGAGAACCTGCGTATGCTGGCACAGAGGGCACGCGAGGAACGTTCGGGTATCCCTTCGCGGCCAGTGGATAACAAGCCCAATGCCGAACGCGCCGCCGCTATGCAATCGTCACTCGGTGCATACGGGAGTGGCAGCGAGAGTGGGTCAGAGGACGAGGAGGACGAGGAGACGGCGCGGGTGCGCGACCAGATGCGGGAGGAGAAGCGGCGCGAGCGCGAGCGGGAGATGCGCATGAGCAATATGGGGCAGGAGCAGCGGGCGAAGATGCTCGCGCGGCAGCAGAACCGCGACATTTCGGAGAAGATCGCGCTCGGGCTCGCGAAGCCGACGACATCGAAGGAGAGCATGCTCGACTCGCGGCTGTTCAACCAGGAGTCACTGTCTGGCTCGTTCGCGGACGACGACGCGTA